AGTGGGTACAAATTTCATTGGCTGGCCTCCAAACAAGAAGACAGTGGGAAACAGGCCCTTTCATTTGCTGGGACAGTTCCCAGTGGGCTCCTGCCCTGAAGGGCTGCTGGTGATCAGAACCAAACCCAGACGAGCACCAACACCAGTGCTACTGGTATTGCTCAGCTTGGACATGAAGCAGCAACAGAAGAGGTAATGGAGGAGCTTACAAAACCATCATCGTTGTCAGTGGCTGGGTCTAAACTGAGCACCTCCTGGGCCATTTTAACACCTCATTCTACCTCCATTAACAGAAATGCAAAAATCAAAGACAACATACCCTTTCAGATAGAGCATAAGTTTAATGTTGACATACAGCACTGATTATCAGATGCCGGGTATAAAATGCCTATTTCAATCATGTTCTGCTTGTGAGCCTTTGAGAGGGAGGGGGAGAGAGCAAGAGTCTGTGGCTCAGTGATAGAGTTATCTGCTTTACATGCAGAAAGTCCCAGGTTCAATCCCTGGCATTTTAAGTCCAAAAAGATCAGGCAGCAGCTAATGTGAAAGAGCCCTGCCCGGGGCTCCCCAAAACCATCTTTGTGGATGCCCATAATAGTATGCACATATGGCGAAAGAAGTAGTTAATCAAACTGGCTACATGTTCAGAGCTACTGTTGTATTAAATACATGTGAAAAAGAAAGCACTCTTGCAGTTACCTGGAATACTCTGCCTTCTTGAAACTAACGCTGTGTCCAGTCCTCCTGAGTCTTTGCTCCCTTTTGAATAAGGGCCATCATCTACGGGAAAAAGAAAAACAGAAAGGGAGAAGATTAACACAAAAGGATTTCTTAAAAAAAAAAATTAGTCTTAACACTTCTGAAAGCTTCCTTGTACAGTCCTTTCTTTCTTTGGAGTTAGTGCACACTATTGCCACAGAGATGGTAGTTAAAAACTAGGTCCTCTTTACCACATCTGCATCAACATCTAGGGCAGAGCTTGACAAATGCCAGTCACCTGGGCTTGACAAATGCCATCACAAAACCTAGAAATCTCATTGGGGCTATCACTATTTTCAGCAATGGTTTTATCGGAGTGTCTCCCAATGATCTTTACTAGAAACTATTAGTCTGAACCTTACCTGCCATTCTAACATATTTGATAAAGTGTGCGTGCACACGAAAGCTCATACCTTGAATAAACTTTTGTTGATCTTAAAGGTGCCATTGGCCTTAGAAATACAACACTTATTCATCATTTCACATCAGAATATGTTTTGTAGCATGACATAAAAATGCACATGAATAGGGATGCCAAGTCGTACCTCATCCTGAAGCGGGGGACTCCCGGGTTGATCCTGGAGCGCGCGCGCGCGCCGCATCCACATCACCAGGAAGTGACGCAACCACGCCGGGCACGCTGGATGACCGTGGCCCGCCCCCAGCGTGCCCAGCGTGGTCGCGTCACTTCCTGGTGATGTGCACGTCGAGGTGGAGTTCCCCCCGGAGCCCGATCCGACGGCGGCGGGGAACGGGCCTCTGGGGCGGGGGTTTCCCCGCCCCCCGGGGGGACTTGGCAAGCCTAAATTCTTATCACTGCTTGCTTATATGTTAACTTTACACTATTTGGTGGTGGTGGATGCATACATTTCCTAGCCAGCTGCTTTCAGTACTGGTTCTAATGTTCAACTGAAAGAAGCATTTCAAAGCAATAATGAAATTATGAGAAACAGGGAAGGTTAGGTTAGAGCTACAGGGTAGCTCTTTGTGGTGGTGATAACAGCCGGGGTACCCCATATGTATATACAACATTTTTGTCACGGCTTTAATAAATCTATGGGAAACTGTCGAGCTTAGAATTAAGTTTTGCAGCAGCAAAAATTATACAATACGGTCAGTGGAATACAAAACACTGAAGGCTGAAATATAAGCCTGGCTCTACAGCCAAAGAAAATTAGCCAAGGCCTGATTTAGAGGGTCTTAGTGCACATATTGGTCTTATCAGGAAGCAAGCCACCACACCCCTGTTCCACCTTCAGGCAGAATCAAAGCTATTTGCAGCGCCATATGAGCCACTACAGATTAAGGCAGGGTGTTGGGCAGGGAAAGTGCCTTTTTCGGTAGCATTCTTCTGGAAAGGGCAATGTGTGTAGCAGCTTATGCCGAGTGACTTGCAGATTTATCCCTAAGTGCAAGGGAATCAGGAGCGGCAGTGAGTTAAAATGATAAAAAGCCCATGGATCATCAGTGGCTCTTTCCTTGCCTCAGAGGCACGCATAAGGAATAGTACAGACATGGGAAACAGTAGGAAGCCTATTAAATAATGGAGATCCAAGACACCTACTTTCACCAGTCTCCCTTTACACTGGGGTTTCTGAGACCTTGTCAGCAGGAGAGCGCAAGCAACGACATCAAATAAGCAGCTAGAAGTACCGCTTGCAATCAGTGATGGTAACACAGCAGACAGCGGCACTGCACTAAGCCTCAAATCTAGCGCCAGATACGGGGAAACTTCCATAGGCATGAGGCCAATACTACTTCTTCAGCTCTGTAACCCCTGTCCAGGAGAAGAGCCAGTGACTACCCAATTTGATTTATTTTTCAGGAGATAACCCTTTAAGGGTGAAAGAACATCTATCCCATAAGTTTTAAGAATGTCATAATACTTGTGAAGAAACTCATGGGCTCGGAAAATGGAATAATAGATCAGGATACCGAGAGTGCACTAAATCTTCATCCTTGAATTTAGTTTCCTATTCTTAGACGCTCTTATTTTCAAAGTCACCTCTTCTGGCTGCCTCTTCAGTCCGTGCAGAGTAAAGGAAGAAGAGGCAGGAAAAGGCTGGAGAAACAGCCTTTGAAAGAACATTACTTTACATTATTTCTTATGTGAATTCCCCCTTCCCCTGAGGATACTTAAATATGTACTCCTAATCCCCCCCCATGTTTTCTAGCTGCATCAAATCACAAAAAAACTTCAGGTTAGACTGAATAAAAAACAGTTTTCAGGGAACCCAAGGGGGCAATAGTTGTAATGCACCTTACTGCCACAGGGTTTGGTGCCAATAATTTACCACACAGAAAAGTATCCCCAACAGCTCCCTTAAGAAAGGTCCTTTTCAAGTCTCTGTTCATTGCAGCACCCACTAGAAATTAGTTCACCACTGGGAAGAAGGGCATCCCGATCAGCTGCTAAGATCCTCTGGAGGTTCATAAAGATTCGATTTCAGACATATAGCCAGCTGCCCTTCCCATTAATTCTTCTAAAATATACCTACAGAGTGCTACTGAGGATCAGGGCAGTTTCACATGTGTCTTCCTGGCCCCCCAAAAATAACATCACTGGGTGTCAAGTTTATACTGAGGAAGGGTGCAGGGGAAAGGCTTAACCCCTGCCTAGCCCAAGATATGATCCTGGTCCAAATCACACACGCCCATTGCTGGTGATCTAGTCATAGATTGTCAGTGTCTTGTTTGCTTGGCCTCCACAGCATTCCTTTGGGACAGATGACAGTCTTACACGTGCCAGGGTCATATTTGTTTTTCAGACAGCCCATGAAATATGCAATGCCTTTCCGAGAGTATTTCTATTCAATTATCAAACATACAGCCTAAACTTCCCCTATGGCTTCCCATTCTGCTTTCAATGACTTCTAAGGAGAACAACATTGGATGGCTAAGAAGTTTTGACATAAGTTCCGGTGCTTCTTAGGGGAGGGGGAAGAGAAATACGATACCATCTTAAGGTTCTGAATGGCAAAAGCCCGAGCCCTTCCAACAAAGAATCCTTAGGTGACTCCTAAGAGCAGCGCTGCTCCTGCAGCAGCAAATACAGTGAGCTTACTTTTCTTAGCAAGAAGATGCTGCTATGCACAAAGAGGAGGAAACGTCTTGAAGAGAAGCTGTTGGGTGATAGTGAGATATTGAAAAATGGTATTTAGCAGAGATAAGATAGTCCAGCAGAGCCAGAGTAAAATAATTCAGACAGAGAGTCCATGTGTGATTAAAATATAAAGTTTTTACTAAATTCTAGCATGGGAAGGGTAACTGGGATGAAAATAACAACAGAGCAAAATCTACTACATCCTTACTCTACAAAGACAAAACTAGAAGAGAGAGATTATAGCTACTCTTCTTCTTCTTCAGAACACCAAAAACAAAGACGGGAAGAGAAGCCATAAAATGGTAATACACCTTGACACTTTAGTCCCCATCAAATTCCTAGATCAGGGAGAAAATTCCCGGGCAATTCACATCTAAAGAACATTGGTTACATGAGAAACATGTGACTTCCTGTGAGTAGCATAAAAAAATATTTAACCCCAGATATACTGAGTGTTTTCAACTTGTAATACCCAACAGAAGCAAATAAAACAACCCCACCATGCGACAAGCATGGAATACTGGTGATAGCACAGAAGGGCATGCCGTTAGCTGGTTGTGAGGAGTGAGTACAGCACCTTGTCCAAAATGGGAGGGGGTGGTCAGAACTTTAGTTCCTTCCTTCCTCCATCTTTGGAGATGTGCCATGAGTGGCTACTAGAGATGTGGCTTTTCATGTTGCAGCATCTGGGGAAGTCTCTATTCACCTGGGACCTGTTCTCTTAAGTTTTAGGTGCCAGGCAAAGATGCTTTCAGGCTTTAAGCATAATCTTGCTCTAGAAAGTATGGCTCGGTGTCTTACACATTCTTGCTTAGAATGAGCTACATGAGGTGAGAGTTTAAATCCTACAGGCTTAAAGAGGAACTTGGGATCTATACATTAAACAGCTTAGAGGAAGGGCCATAACTCAATGACAAGAGCATAGGCTTTGCATGTATAAAGCCTCAGGAAGCCCAACTGGCAAAGATCTATATACTATTAGCCACCCATAGCCCCCATCTATGGACTGGAGCCACGTGGATGCTAAACAGATCTTTCTTCAAACTTTGGGCACTCCCCAGGTTTGCAGAAAAATTTAACTCCCCTGACAAGTAAAGTAGCATTCTCTGCACATGTGCAGAAAATGCAGTTACCTCCAGTGGCCGCTGCAGTCCCTGAGTCATGCTGGACCTGAAGGTTGTGTTGCACAGCACAGGAGCCCTACTGGGACGGCTGTGCAACCCGGGACCCAGGTGGGGCATGCCACTGGCAGCTGCACAGCCCAGCAGCTTCAATGGGCCCAGTGGAGGTGGAGCAGCCTGGGAGCACCACTGGTGGCTGCCGTGTGACCCAGGAGCAGCACAGGACTTGTTGCTGGCAGCAGGCAACCCTGAAATTGTGCTGGGTTTGCTAACAGCAGCAGTTCAGTCTGTGAATCAAGCTGGGCCTGATGCAAGGGTTGTGCAGCCTGAAAGCCATGTGGGGCATGCTGCCAGCAACAGTGCAACCCAGGAGTTGCACTAGGCTCTCTGCCAACAGTGGCAGTGGGCCTGGCAAGAAAGTTGGGGGAGGGGAACCACTCTTTGCTACTGTGATGGCTGTAAGTTTCTCAGGAGAAAAAGCAACACCATGAGAATGGAAGGCATTGAAATAATGGTCTTATACTTTGCATAACCTAACATACTATTTGACTTCAGATATGCTTTGACTTTCACTCCACAGAGGGAAACTTAGCAGAAAGCTAAAGCTACAGTTATTTTCACTTAGTGTACAATTTGATTGTGGTTAGACTTAGAATGTGATGAACACATGTTAACCACTGGTCCATCTAACAAAGTACTGTCACTTCTGACTAGGAGCTGCTGTCCACGTTATCAGACGAAGCAGATCCTTCAAATGGGGATTGCAATACAATGTAATTTGTTTTAATCAGAACTGT